ATATAGCTGTAATGTCCTGGAAATACAGAGTCTGCTCTGACAAACTTTGCTTTACTGACAAAGCTGTGCTGTATGTGGTGTTGCAGAGTCTGTGTAGCAAATAAGTGCACAAATATATCTTCCCCCTGATATAAGTCAGCTGCTGCTGCCTTCTAGAAGCTTTTGCTAGCGGATACAGCACCTCTCTGTTCCCAGCGTATGCATGCATACCTATATATGCACACTCTGAAAGGAAAAGAGGATCATACAGTGGTGCTATAGCCTGCAATTCCAGTGCTGCCTTGTTGCCATGTCTTTGTTAATAATATCTAGAAACAACATCATGTAACCTTTTTTTTCTCTTTAAATTTGAAAGGTGAGAAGTGATCAACAACTTGGCCAATACAGTTGGCAATCTTTTGTGCTTTTCGTCATACAAACAGATTTCCTGACAGTACTGTGAGAGAATATGTGTGTATCTGGGGTGGGAAGATAGCAGTTATTTTCCTTCCAGAAAATGCTTTGTGTAAACACTGGGTGTTTGGTATGTCCTAGAGAGGCTTTGTACCACTCTCCACCAGGTTACACAGAGCTTGCTTCTCTCTGCTCCAAGTGCTGAAGAGCAGCTGCTTGGAATCTGCCATCTGCTGCCCTACTCTGCTGTCTCAAAGCTGCCATAAGCTGTGGGCATAGCGCACAACAGAAAGTCTGTCATCTGTTCCCAAGCCTTTGAAAAAGTGCAGTCATAGTTGAGGCTCTGGATGAGAAGTGGTGGCCTGACCTTTGATGCTCTAGGTGCTTTCCCCTTGCCCGCAAAGCTCCTAAGTAGAGATTTCTCAATATACTCTCTTAAATTTGAGGGGAAGAAGAGGTGAGGGCATCTTTGAACTGGTGACTTGTCTGCAACACTTGCTGCAAGTGTACTGGGGATTTAATGACCCAATAAAACCAAATAAGAAGTGATCTTACTGGAGTTTCTACTTCCTGAAGGAACTTGTGTATATTCTGTCGTGTCCTCCTGAAGGCTGATATACAAGTGTTCAATAAGTCTTTTGATTGAGCTGACTTAGATAAATACATTGTGGCTGTGACAAGCTGGTCTTTTAAAGTGAAATAAAATTGGAAACCAAATTGTTTTGCAGAAGAGAAACAAGGTAAACAACAAGAGAAGTAAGTTCTGTTCTATACCTCATGCCAAATCTAATGTATGCAAATTATCACAATTGCTTTCTCCTTCTGTGTGTAACTTTATTTTGGCCCACAGGTCCAAAGGAGCTTTCCATAGCTCCTTTTAACAATACTATATGTGTCCAGCAGTCTGGAATCTTTCAAGGAGGAGGATGGCATATAAATTTGCGTTCTTTATTAGCATAAGTATTGCTTTACTCTTTAACTGTTCTATCTCTACTCAGGTTTCGAAATGGGACTTGTCTTTTCCCATGAAGTGGCTGGGGGATATGTTCCAGCCACTAGCAATCTGACTTTACCTGGTGATGAAGCTCCAGTGTCTCATCTGCACTGTTACAACATGCATTCATTCTTTTTTAGTATTTTTTCCCATTGTGGTCAAAACACGCCCTTTTTATTAGCAAAGAAATAGCCTGTAGCAAAGAAATTCTGTTTACTACTAGCCTGTGTATGCTGAGGCCAGACAATTAGTCTTGCGTGTGTCATAGAAATGGGGCTGACACATTTCTTCTAAGACACTCTTAAGAGGAGGTAACGTCCTTTCCACGTAACACACCCCACCAGCTTCCCTCTTCTTCCCAACACAGTTATTTTTCCACTTAGGAAACAGCTCCAGTTTTTCTTCCAATTCATGAAGATTAAATTATGCTTGTTCAGCCTGTCAGCAGGGTGTCCTGGGCTGCTCTGAAAGGAAGATTTTAACACTAAGTGACATTCTTCCCTTGCTTACAGAAAAGGTCTGAAGTCTGTTATGGTAACTGCAGTGGGCTTCTGCCTTTATGCAGGTTGCCATAGGTACTGTCTGCTTCCAGATCCTCTCTAATCAAGTGAGACCTTGTAGCTCTCAACTAAAGCAGCAGTTCTTACTCTTAATTATCTATTTTGTTAACCCTTGAAGTCTCTGATTTAGAGGATGAAATTAGAGCCATCTTTCCTCTGAATGGAAGATGCCATTGCCTTGGACCTCCGTTTACCTGAGCTTGAGTAAAGAAACAGGTTGAGCAATATGGCAGTACTGGTATTAGGAGTTTATAAAGTAATGGACAAATATGTTCTGTTTGGAATTGAGATAGAACTGAAGAGGTAGACTCATTTTTTAGGTTTTTATCTTTTGTCAGCATGTCAGAATTAACTGCTCAGTGTTGTTGCTGGCTGCATAACAAATAAACTTCCAATAAACCACCATCTTCTTTGCACAGATTTGCAAAACTGTGGAGGGGGAGGAAATGCACAGGAAGGAAAACTGAATGAAGCTATCGGTACTGAGGAACCTCTGAATTTCCTTTTTAGGGACTGGGTGGCAACTGGAAAAAGTTGAAGGATGTGACATAGTAACTCCTAAAACTTTTGTTACAGGCATCCTGTAAGCAGAGGTTTATTCACAGGACTTGTGAATGACAGCATTTAAGTCTATTGCCTTTTGTTTGAGCTTCTTTTTATGGACTCAGTTCAGCAAGCCTAGGCTCTGGAAAGCAGAAGTTGAGGAAGTTTAAAATCAAAGCATTAAGCCCTCTTCTCATGACTAGCTGGAAACCCAGGCTAGATTTGAATATTTCTTCTAGCATAGCAGAGAAAATCTGAAGATAACTGCAGCTGTGGCTCTCACTGTGCATGTAAATGCATAGCTGCTTCACTTTTGTGTCTGTTCTTGAAGCTGAAACCTACTTTAACTAAAGCTCTTGACTTTCAGCAGCAGCAGCTACACATCTGACAACTGTTTGTGTGGCTTCTATTTGTATATTCCTTTCTTTTCCACTTCTACCAACAAAAATAGGAAGCAGGATTTTTTTGGGGGGTTGCCATATCTGTTTCAGATATATTTCTTGCCTGACCTTTTAAAAGGTTGTCTGTTAGTGTCAAAGTATAAACAGGCATTGTCTCTTTAAACTTGGGTAGGAAAGGTACTGACTCCCCTGAACATATTAGCCTTAAAAAAAAAAAAGAAAGAAAATGCCAGTTTCTGGCTTCCCGGTGTGATGTGACTGCAGCCGGCACTGAAAGGACTGCAAACGCGTTGCCATCTATTTGAAGTACCGAAATGACTCATTAAAGTAGGCCATCACGGCCACAGAATGCATAGCATGAAACACGCTTCTGTTAGCAGCCTGCTGACTAACACAATGCTTTCTGTTTGCTGCCACAGGAGGTACTCGTATGGGGTTGTGAGGAGATGACAAGGCCTCTCTTTCAGAAGCACAATGGCAAAATGCATTTCAGCTTCTTGTCACCGAGATCTAAAACCTCATGGTCTTCCCCTCCCCACTCTTCTGTGAGCACAGAACGAGTCATCTCTGCTGAACATGTGCAGAGACCAGTTGCTTCCACCATTTCTTACTCTGTAGCCAACCAGTTTTATGCAGGAGTCTAAATGTTTCCTGGCAAAACAAAGTGTTGTCCTTGACTTGCTGCAGGTGCCTTAATGTGTTTTGCTGTGGCTGTATAATTTGATACTTTGTGGGTATCAAACACTCCGTGAACAACGGATAAAATGCTTTTTATGGACGTCCATGCTTATTCTTCATTGTGCTCACAGAAAATGTCTGGAATGTGTGTTATGTACTGTAATTTTTAGTGCCTGCCATGGGAATATAGTGAATATAAGAATTGTTGGGGACCCACACTGGAGCTGTTTGTGAAGAACTGTAGCCTGTGGGAAGGACTCACACTGGAGAAGTCCATGAAGGACTGTCTCCCATGGGAGGGACCCCATTCTGGAGCATGGGGAAGAGTGTGAGGAGTTCTCCCCTTGAGGAAGAAGGAGCAGCAGATTCAACGTGTGGTGAACTGACCACAACCCCCATTCCCTGTCCCCCTGTGCTACTGGCGGGGAGAAGGTAGAGAAATGGGGAGTGAATGTAAGCCTAGGAAAAAGGGAGGGATTGTGAGGGGATGGTGGTTTTAAGATTCTATTTTATTTCTCATTGTCCTACTCTGATTTGATTGATTGTAAATCATGCAGATTTCCCCAAGTTGAGTTTGTTTTGCCTGTAATGGTAACTGGTGAATGATTTCTTTCTGTCTTATCTCAACATGAGCCTTTTGTTACATTTTCTCTCCCCGGTCCAGTTGAGGAGAGGCGTGGGAGAGAGGCTTTGGTGGGCACCTGGTGTCCAGCCAGGGTTAACCCACCAAAAGCACGAAGCTTGCATGAAATGCTGAGTAAAAAGGAGAAGCTGCATAGATTGTGTAGCATTACTGTCTTCTGGGCGCTTCAGCTGAATCACAAGTCTTGGAGTCTTTTCTTATTCTCCTCCCCAGAGCCAGCTTTTTGCACCTTCATCCTGGGTGATTTCTTTGGGGAACTTCCAGTCAGGAGAAGCTTGAGTGTTAAAGGGCTGTAGGTTAGTACTGAGCTTTACTTTTCTTGTGGAGGGAACTGGAGTCTTAACTAACCTCTTTGGAGATTTGTGTGTACCATAACGCAGAGATCCTGATACTCTCTGGTTTACAGTTGACTGCAAGCAAGAAATGTTGTGTAGTGAGTAGAAACAAAATGTTTGTGTTCGGAGGGTAGAAGTGAAGGTAGCAGTTCCCATGCAAGAGCTGAAGTGAAGGAGGTACCATCTGCGACTGGAGTGTGAGGCAACAGTTTGAAAACATGATTCATACGCTTCTTCCTCTTTGCATGCTTGAGAAAGCAGTTGTCTAACTGAAGATCTTACTAGTGAGTTGTATGAATAAATATTAAACATATGGTTTCCTCTACTAGTTTACGAATTTAGTTGGATTTACTGATTGTGTGTAATTCTTAGGTCATCAGCTGTAACCAGTGAGGTTGTAGCTCAACTTCAACTAATGCAGTATGGTTTTCTTTCCCTTCTTCTTCTTACCAGCAGAGGTGTTTCACCACTTCTTGCAGCATCGTTGATCCATGCTGCAGTTAATGAAGTTCTCCAAACAGACTTGACTGAATTTAAGCAGCAAAATGTGGAAACAGAGGGAGAAGGAGATGAGGAAAGGTTCACCTGTAAGTATGCTTTTTTCTTTCTGTGGTTTTCCCAGAGGCTGTCTGTTGGAAGACTTCCATGTTTTGAAATGTTTCCCAGAATATTTGGTTAGCTGGCAAACTGCAGTGAACAGAACCTTGTTTGCTCCTGCTGGGTATCTGTGGGATGAAAGTAGCTGTGCTAGTTTTGTGGGCAGGATGCAAACATGGGGTCTGGAGCCCCGGACAGATTGTGGGGGTTGGCTTTCTGGAAAGGGAAGAGTGTTTCTCTTCCCCAAAAGAATTAATGACTGTGTCCACTGGGCTTCCTGAACTGAACTAGTTCAGAACTTCTATTTTCCTCATTGGTAATTTCACTTGAATGGAACTGATTCAGTTCCTGTCTTGATAACCTTTTATATTTTTGAAGTGCCCTTTTCTCTGGTAAACTGACCTTAGGTAACTACTCCTACATTTTAACATTGGCATCATCACAGTTCCTCTTGTGCAGCCATACTGACACCTTAAATTCATCCATATAGTCCAGCTTGCTTTGGTTCTTCTTGGGAACCAGATTTTGGGATCTGTGTCCCCTCCACAACTTGAACATCTTGAAACTCTGGATCTTTCTCTTGGCAAGTTTCTTAATAGTCTCTGTCTTTAGTGATTATTTCTTCTCTTCCCATCCTCCCCTACAAAGATGAGATGCTGAGGGACTGAAGAACCTGGTGCATGGCTTCTGTCTGATGCCTGCATTCTCTCCTGACTGAACTGTAGAGAGAACAGACCTTGGTGACTGAGTACTGGGTTTGTGCCTCATGTAACAGATGGTCCTATTACATTTACATGCTGAAATGTTTAACATTAGACTTCACCAAACCTTCAATCCCGGCACCAAGAATTTAAATGGAGCCAGATGCAGGCAGAGTTGAAGATAAAAATGGAGGAGAGACAGCTTGGGCAAACTAGTTTATCCTGTAAGGGGAAATGCTTGCCCATTTCCCTGGGATGACTTGAAGGCAGCTCAGTGTGCCCCAGAGGGTGCGTTTCCAAGTAGACCTCTGGTAATGGCCAGGATGTGACACTTTCCAGAAGCCCATTCCAGTATTCACATAGAAGTCTTAAACAGCAGGAGAGGGAACACATTTAATAAAGCCTGGTTGCACCCTGACTGCTTCATCCCTTGCCTCCATGTTTGCAGCCTTCATGTGCCTGGAGAGATTTAGCAGGTTTCCAGCACTTTGCATGTGAACAGTTGGCTTCGCATCAGCGTGGCTGGGCTCTGAACAACAACGTGCTTTGGCCCTCCTCCTCCTCGGGCGCAGGGAGGAGCCGTTCCGCGGCTCCACTGGCATGTGGGCAGCGGCGGGCGGGACACGGGACAAGCGGCAGCGGGCAGCGAGGGGGGGGGGGAATCGCGCCCTCTGCCGCCCATCGGCGGAGCTGCGACCTCCCGGAGGCCAGTCCCGGCTCTGCTGAGGCTGGAGCCTCCTGGCACCCCCTCACAGAACCAACCCGCAAGTATGTACCGTAGGGATACAGGGACGTTCTCCTGTCCGAGAGCAGTCGCACGGGCTTCACTGCAACTAACTTAACTGGGAGCAGGACTCTGCCCGAGATGAGCAGCTGGCCTGTGACAGTTTTGTGTGACTGGATCACTGCAGTTGTAAGATAGTAAGAAGTGCAGGCAGAAGTACTAGAGCATGGCTTTCTGCAGATCAAGCTACTTCTGTGACTAGAAGCTCTGTATTGCCACAGTGGCCATAAGGCATGTGGTAAGACATGCCAAAAGTGGTATAAAAGCATCTTTCTTATTGTCTCTTTCTCATCAGAAAGAATTGTATCTTACTGAATTGTGACATTGTGTTCCAGTAGTATATCTTTATTTGCTATTGCTCAGGCTTTATAGGAAAATAAAGACCATCAGATGATAACCCACATTTGATAATTACATAGGGTTTCATCACAAATATTTCATTGGCCTTCCAATGTTGCTGAGAAAAAGTCTTGTTTGAGAACCAGGAGTTATAAAAAGGAATTCTGAGGAAGCTTTAATGCAAGCAGTGTTAGCAGAAGTCAGAATAGAACAGAAAAGATAGTTCATGTACTGCAGTTCTTTAGGAAACACATTAGTGAGCAGCAAATTATTTTTGCTCTATAGATGGTCTTTTTGCTGCTTTCTGAAGTTAGTTGATTCAGCATTGAGGGTTCTTATTCAAATAGCAAAACTTTAAATTATTACATATTCTGAGAGACTGCCTTGCAAAGCTAGACAGAGTGCCAAACTGAAGCATTCAGTCTGATGAACAATAAGTTTGGATTAATTGATCTTTGGGACCTATCCAGGAAAGGATTTGAGTGTCTGGCTGGAGCTTTTCACACTCTGCTCAATGGATGTTTACAGTCATGCTCTGTAATGACAGAGCAGGAAAGTGGTGGAAGTATTCTCCTGTCTTTTGGCTCCTACACCCATGTGTTTTTAAAAACATAAAGAAAACAGCTTAAAATTCTCATCTGTTCAGCTCAGCTATGAGTTCCGCTATTGATCTCAGCAAAACATTCTCAGGCTTCCTTGTCATTTCAGTGGAAGTGGTTCAGTAGGACATAACCTAACTCAAAGCCAGGCTAATGCTTTCCAACCTTTGTGTTCAAGACAGCAGCAGTCTCTTATCTTGAAGGCTTTTCTGTTCCCTTGCTTTTTCTGTTTGGTTGGGTTTTTTTTGTTGGTTTTGGGTTTTATTTTTTGTTTGGTTTGGGGTTTTTTTTTGCCTTTTTTTTTTTTTTTAGGATGTATTTCTACCACTAAATCTTGTTAATTTTATTTCCATAATAATATTTACCTCTAATATGCCAGAATGATATAATATAATATGGTATATTTGTTATGATTTTTGTGATGTAATCATCTACTTGATAACCCTCTATTTTGAAAGTAGCTTTTCTTATCTTTGCTGTTATACTGTTTTCAGTTCCAGCTTTTTCTCCCCATTATTCTCAGAAGCCTATTTTAATTCTTGCAGAGCCTGTAAAGGCAGAGTGCTGACTGTGTGTGTATAGCTCTAAGCAAAGAAACTTGAAGGATAGACAAGCCAAAAGATGGGGTAATGTAGGCAAGTGGGCACACAACTTACTGTTTGTCTTTGTGCTGTCAGTGCTGGATGGAGAGTCATTGCAGCGTTGCTTCTTTAACAAGCTCTGGGATGTTTGCTTTGAGTGGCAGAAGCAGTTGCCACCACTGAGACCACTGAAGCGTTTCCTACTGGTTTCCATCCACGCCATCCGTAACACCCGGCGGAAAATGGAGGACCGCCATGTTCTACTCCCAGAGTTCAACCAGCTCTTTGGTTTATCAGTAAGTGTGGACACAGCTGGGGAGGCCAGTTTGTTAGATTTTCAGTGTTCCTGTACACGTAGTGATGGGTGATCTGTGAAGGGTAAGAATTTGTTACCACAGGTTATTTTGTCATGTCTTGAGCTAGAACTTACTGACTCAGGTTGCTATGGCCTGACTGCTGGCCTGATGAAGAAGGATCTTGTGACCTTGGGTTTTATGTCATAAGAGAAGTTCACCTAGTGTTAGGTTGCTGGAGTTACAATGCTCTTGTGACTGAGTTAACATATATTAGGAAAAGAAGGGGGAGAACAGCCAATGTGCAAGTGCCAATTAATGAAGCTGTCTGCTGATTTAGTTCCAGATTACTTTCAAGGATATTAAATGACTGACAGCAAACAAGGAAAAGTCCCCTCCAAAGTACCCATTTGATCCATTTTGCATATGGATAAACTGACTTAAATTGCCCTTACCCATGCAAAGTTGTATGGAAGAAGGCACAGCATAAAGCATCTTTGCTGGCTGGTACCTGTCTATGAGCTATTTTGGTTTTGAACATGAATATTTCTTCCTCTCTGTCCCTCCCCACAAAAGGATGACACTGATCGCGCTTTCTTTGCGGTATTTGATGGCCATGGTGGAGTGGATGCTGCCAATTATTCGGCAACCCATTTACATGTGAATGTTGGACTGCACGAAGAGATTGTTAAGAATCCAGCTGAGGCCTTGAAATGCTCTTTCCAGAAGACAGATGAAATGTTTCTTTTCAAAGCCAAGAGAGAGGTGAGTGGGTAGATTAATTCCATTGTGTTTAAACAACACTGAGAACTGTTGGACAACATGGTATTATCCAGAAAAATCTGCCAGTACAGTTTCTTTGAATCACTGACCTTTTTACAAAATTATGCTACATTAAAGATTTTATTTGATCAAAATATTTCTTTTTTTTGAGGAAAACCAAAATGACAGTTTTTGCAAGTTCAAGATGAGAGATTGACAAGAAGTGTTAAGTGGTTTAAATGATTCTGACATACTAATTAGTTGAGAGAACACTCTGCTCCCTCTTTTCCTAAATTAGGCAGCTTCTGGATGTCCTGTTGTCCTCTTCCTGGTAATTCAGTGACTGTCTCCCTCTTTCTTGTCCCACCATTAATGTCACAGGAGGTCGTAAGACGAAAAATATTCTATGATTTAAATCAGGCTCTTCAGTTCGTTAAGCTTATTGATCAGCTTTGAATCAAGTTGTATGATGATCATTCTTTTATCAAATCTACATAATGGGAGAATGTTTTATTATACAGTTTAATGAGAACTCTTTTATTATAGCAGTAACTGAATATGGAAGTATTCATTGTTAATACCTTAATTTCTGTCAATGAGGTACAAAAGAGGGACCAGCATCTTCATGAGGTCTAACTCTCACTAATCTTTACAGGGAATATAGGATAGTTCCCTCATTTGTTTACATCATCATTTAAATACTCAAGGTTAATGGAATGTATGTGGAGCAAGGTGTCTGTAGTTGCTAGTGATAGAGAATGTGAAAGGGATTGGGAAGACCTCTGTGTGTGTGAGAGATGTTTATACTACTGAAATTCAGAACCTTTTTATTTTCATTTTTATATTCTCTCTGTGGTTTGAACAATAGAGGTCTTAGTCTCCTACACTGGTTTTGGAATTAATAACAGAGAAGGAAGAATGTTAACAGAGGCAGTATTAGCCAGCTGCACGTTGGAATATGTAAATAGTTTAATTCAAGTCTGTCTAATGCCTGTACCTTTTATTCAGGTACCTGAATTATGATTGGCAGGTCTAGTTTGATGCATTTAAGTGTGATTAAACCTAGGTTTGCAATATTGCCATGTAACCTTGTAGAGCTTGTTGAATATTCACCTAATAAATCTGTTCTTCCATAGAAGCTGCGGAGTGGTACAACAGGTGTATCTGCACTGATTGTAGGGAACAAGCTGCACATAGCATGGCTAGGGGACTCACAGGTAATGCTTGTGCAGCAAGGAAAAGCTGTGACGTTAATGGAACCTCACAAACCAGAAAGAGAAGTAAGTCTGACTTGGTGTTTTCCTCTCATGCACGTGTTGTTAGAATCTCTGATGAAACCTTTCAGAATCAGGCCTTCTTAAGTGAAGTGTTTGGTGCTTTACATAATTGCATATGGGAAGAAGTGGCAGGAAAGGGTACTCATCTATGTGGGAAAGAACATCATGATACAAAAACTTAAGAACTCTGCTTTTTTTGTGGACAAGCCATGATATGGTTGGGAAGAAGGTGGGTTATTTCTGGTAACCTTAATTGCTTGTTTCCAACCTAGATTCTGATATATGTGCTTGCTATATTCATAGTATAAATACAGAAGCTGAAGCAGCTTTTGGTTTTGGGATTTGTCTTTTTTTCCTCCTTGATTGGATAACAACAAGGTCAGTAAGCCATGAGTAGGCTTTCAGTGTAAAAATTGTGTTCTACTGTTTTTCAGGATGAGAGAGAACGTATTGAGACTCTGGGTGGTTGTGTGACCTATATGGACTGCTGGCGGGTTAATGGTACCTTGGCTGTTTCCAGAGCAATTGGTAAGATAAACCACCAAAATTAGTAGACTTCAGCTTAAATTTGATTGAAACTCACCACCTGAGACTGTATGTTATGTTTACTGTAAATGACGTTTTGCTCAGCATTGACCAAATAGTAAATCACTCTTACTGTCTTTGCCATAAGGTTGTCTTATAGCTGTATAACTTACATAGCTTGCAGCTATATAATCTTATTGGGTTTACAGTGAGCATAGAATATTGTTTTATTTTCCATATTTATTTCCATGACAGTCCTAATTCTTTTATACTTCCAATTCTTTTGCTTCTTTGAAATGTCTTTGATACTGTGATGTTCTACAGTAGCTTAACAAATGCACAGTGTTTAATTTGTAAAAGTGGGAAAAGCAATAAATGTTCCTCTAGCTTTCTTTATGTGTCTGAATGCCTGCTTTCTGGCATTTTTCGTCCACTTTCATAGTAACGCATCTTTCTTCTTACTTCAATTCTTAAGTCAGATCGCTACATCCTCCTTCAAATCACACATAGCCGGCAAATTGAGGCATTTTAACTGTAGTACAAAACATAAGTGCTGCATATCTGGATAGCTAAGAAGAAGCTTATTTCCACAGCATTCTAGAGGCTGTACAAGAGGCACACCTGTAAAGTGAAGGCCTGCCTGTCTCCTTGCACAAATGTATTTCAGAGAAAAAAAACTTTTTGGAAGAGTTTCCTTAGTTCATCTGCAAAATTAGGAAAGCATGAATTAGAGCAACTCCTTAGAAACCCACTGGATTTAGGTAGGTTCCAAGCATTCTTAAAGAAACAAAGGCCTTACAAGCTTATTCCATAGTTTTTCACTGTTCTTGTCCTGCGTCAGGTACCTGTGGAATATGATCTGTCTGCCCTTAAGGATGGGTAAAAGCAGTTGGTGCCTGAAGAAGTAACTGTTAACATTTGAAGTAATAAAGCCTTTGTTTTGATTGTTTGTCGTAGGTGACATATGTCAGAAACCCTACATCTCAGGTGATGCAGATGGAGATTCGTTTGAGCTGACTGGTTCTGAAGATTATTTGCTCCTAGCCTGCGATGGATTCTTTGATGCTGTCAAGCCATACGAGGTTGTAGACTTGGTCTTAGATCATTTAATGGAAACCAAAGGAGTGGGTCTCAAAGCAGCAGAAAGACTGGTGGCTGCTGCAAAGGAAAATGGATCCAGTGATAACATCACTGTTTTGGTGGTCTTCTTGAGGGATCCTCAGGACATCTTGGCAGACTGTATCAAAGACCCTAAGAGCCTTGAGGCTGGTGATGATGCTCAGAGCTCACCCTTTAACTTCCTCAGCTGTGAGGCAGCAGCCACACAGTGACAAAATGTGCTTAATCAGAGCATTCAAATAAGTTCACATAAGGAACTGCTTTCCACTGAAGAAGCCTCTAATAAAATAGGCAAAACGTGTCAGGAGAGAAATGACAAATGGACAAACATTTAACAAAAAGGCAAGACTCCTTTTACTGAGTTCCCATTTGTCTTTTCCTTCCTTTCTCCTCCCTTCAAAAAACACTGAGCAGATGTGGAGATCTGTACAGCTATTACGTCTCTGGGAGCAGACTTCTAAAATGTGTCCCAGGGCTGCTGGTCATGTCCCTCTGCCCTGGAAGTGGGAAGAAACCATAATATGTATAAGCTAATGGGTGAGAACACCCCTTTGTGAATTCTGAGTGAAAATTGAAACTTAGTGCTTAAAAAGAGTGCTGTATGTTATATTTAATTGTGATGTTAGTTTGGAGATTGGGAGGACAGACAGAAAAGCTTGTTACTGTGTGTGGTCTGCAGGAACAGGCTTGGTGTGTGAGACTGGGTGACACCATTATACTGTGTAAGTTGCTTTTGTTTTGTACCAAAGATGAAATGAGAATGATGTGGCCTCTTCATTCAAACAGAGACATTTAATTTTGTTTGTATGGAGAGGAGAAAATAAAACTGACTGAATGCTCCAGAAAAAGAGCAAGAAAGCTAACTAGAAATATCCCAGGCAAAATGATGCAAATCAGCTGCTTTCTGGGATGCTCTGGTTTATAAACTGGAATCCAATATTTAACTGCACTGGATTATTTTCCCCTAAAAAAACATGCTCTAGTGGCTGTTTGGCAACCTGACAAGAAAGGGCCCTTATTGTTGTATTTGAGAGAGATCTTTACAGTACGTGTGCTCTAGCAGTTAAATATGCTGTTTCTGCCATTTTTTTGTGTACTATAACAAATGAGAATTTTATTTTTATTCTAAATGCTTGTTTATTTACTGAACTTTACAGTTGGAGGAATTTTTTGCAGTGTTACTTTATTGTGGTTTTTATTTAAATTAGAATTTTAAAGTGGCTATGTCTTTATTATCTGGGTTTAAAAACTGACTACCCTCAAGTGCCTTAAATATTTCACCCAAGGATTGCTGGCTTTCTGTCATATTCTGGTGAGCCAGTTTATAGTGTTTTTAAAATGTGACTTTTTTATTTCAATACTAATGTTTAATGCACTTAAATGTTTCCTTTTTTTTTTGTGAATTATTTTAGTGGGAACTGGATTTTAAAAAACAACTTTCATTGTTGCCAAATCTTGTGGTTTGCCATAAAAGCTTCACAATACTTACTGTGACTTACCCCCTACCCCATGCAAAAAGCTCTAGTTAATCATAAAGCAGCAAGTCTGAGTCATCATGACTTTCATTTAAAAACAAATATGCTTTGACCTTCACAAGAAAATGTAATAACACAAACTAGAAACAGTTTAGCAACAGTTTCTGATTAATAGATGGTTAATTTGGCCATACTCTGTGAACTTTTTGGGTCTAAGTAACTCTCTAAGGAGATACAAAGCTAAGGGGAGGATAAAGAATCCTAATGAATGTGTATGTTGTTGTGCAGCTGTTATTTCCATTATGTGCTAGACCCTCTGGTTGTGTTTTGTCTTGCCTTACTAGCCTGGCTAGCAGGACTCAACAAGATCTGAAGGCTCAACAGTAAATGTGTTAGTTTCCTGTAGCTAAACAAAAAGTGATTTACATCTGGCCCCAAGATTCTGTGCCTAATTTAGAAGCACATGGCATTGCAATATGTCAGTGCTGTTGATTAAAATGTGTTGAACATTAATGTTGCATAGGAAGAAAATTTAGGTAGAAAAGTTGAGATGGCTGAAAGGAAGAGCGATGGCTTTGAATTGTTAGCTAGTGTAGGGCAATGCAGCTACACAAGTGACTTGAGTGCTTTGCTGGATTACTATGAACGATCATACGGTTTAACGTAGAAACTCCTCATAAGATACCATCTCATTGCATAGCAACTCAGAGAGTGACTTCCTTGTTCTGCTACGCAACAACAGGGAGCCCTGAGAGGGTTGCAAGTGTTTTTCTGTTCTACATTTTGCTGTCCTAAAATATGTGGAGAATGCTTTTGGTGATGGCAACCTGGTGCTAGGGGGCTATCAATTTTTGTGGTGAACCTACTTCAGTTAAGGAAGCCTCTAGACTTGCTTAGTAATCTCTTCAGATTTACCATCTCCTAGGTCTTTGATTTCTGACCCAGATACGCAGTGTCACGCTAAATTCTGATGACCACTAGTGCCTCTTGGTGTCTTGGAAATAGTTCTCATTATTAATATGGTAAGAATCACACAGAATTGTTTGACTTCACTGCTGAGTGAGGGCAAGCTGTTGTATTCATGAAGGGAGGTGCAAAAAGTTGGTAAGTTCATAGTATAGCTTGGTTTCTGATATTTGCCAAATTTCCTGAAACATGGAAGGACCTGAACAAGCCAAGTTCTTCATAATGATCTTTGTATTGCAGCCTTCTTGAGGCAGATTTGCATTACTGAAGAAACAGTCTTAAGTCCTTCAGTGAATTCTTACAGTTATGTGAGAATACCTTTCTTTTGTTTCAAATTTGATAGTTGGTTTGTTGGGGTTTTTTATGGGAGCTGAGTGAAATGGGCCTTTAGAAAGCTGTCTGTGGTCATCAGAAAATTCAATTCTTAAGCTATGCTCTCAGGAAGAAATCCTATGTTCTGAGAAGGTGTTTCCCTATATAGAGGTTTCCACTCTGAATGATCTGTTGCCTCATTTCTTTGAGATGCAGGGGGACAGAAGTAGTCTTTGGGAACTCAGATTTCAGTAAGGATTAAAAATATTTCCTTTCTTTTCAGAGACTTCTTGCTAGCTTTAAGAAGTCTGGTCACATCTGTAGGAGCTGTAACTGGATCACGAATGGCAGGTTGTATCCTGTCAGTGGAATAAATAAGTTCTAATGTGTCATATACAACAGAATTCCAAATACTATTTGGAGGGGAAATCGGCCTTGGCGATGTCTTGTCTATTCTTGGCAGCCTGATCAAAACCTATGGAAACTCTTTTTTGTTTTCAACTGAAGCCCCAAGATTTCAATTTTATGCTGAATCAGTAATGGAAGTGTGACACAGGATGCAAGTATGGGTTTGAAAATGCACTTTTCAGTTCTGTTGCAAATGGTTATCAGGATGGTCTCACCCTTGGGATGGGAAGGCAACCTCCAGTTTTTGTTTCACTTGTGACTTTGAGATCACTTTTAGAAGCCACCAGCTGTAATGCATAACGCTGTAGCAAGAACTGCCGCTAGTAGGGGTGATGAGGAGAGAGGGAAGGAGCTCTAGCAGAAGGTATGAAGTTGAACTAAATATTTCAAAATATGAAATGGTGCTATGTTTTGAATTTACAGTCCTAACCTGCTACATCAGCTTTTCTTACCTTTCCCCTTAAAACTTCTTGGATATCTGGCGTTGGCTGTTCTGTTTTCCTTCCCTCTCTTGGTTAAAAATAAGACATGATTTTGGCGACGGAGTGCTCCCACCTATCTGGGACTTCCCAGTGTCATCTACAAGTACTAACACTTGTCCACCAATGTCAGATTGACTAATGACAAATTGAATGATTTGCCCGTTTCCTTGTTGTCTTTCTGAAGAGCCTGCAGCAAAACCAGTTCTTGAGTCTAGCCAAACTCTCTGAAGCTGTAGTAAATAGCTGAAGGATTCCATACAAATGTGCAATGAAAAATGAAAGTATTTTCATATTTTGTTAGACTCCAAATGAATGGTGCTGCTGCATTTTAGCACCCAGGTCCTTAAAGCATCTGGCGTATTTAAAACACAGCATGCTTAAATTGTTGTATTGTGCTTAATTAAAAACTAGCTTTAGTCATTCCTCTTAGTGGGTATCCAGCATCTCCTTTGCTTGTGGGTAATTCATACTTCTACCCTTCTCCCTTTCTTTCCCTTTCCTACCTCACCCTCTCCTACAAAGAAACATACCTAAGACAATCTTCTGGGGCTGACATAGACAGGATTATGATTTTACAAATTACATTTGTTGGGGGGTTGGTTTGGGGTTTTGTTTTGTTTTTGAGAATAGGATAGAAATACAGGAAAGTCTTTAGAACAGAGGGAGATGAAGTAAAATCCACCATCTGAGTGATGGAGGAGTGAAAGAGACAGGAATGCATTTAACTATTATTAATGCCTATTTTAAAAAGGAAGTGGGCTGGAAAATAGAGCTACAAATGTCAGTTCTTTAGAGTGAAATACCAGTGCCTGAAAGAATTAGAAACACACCCATTAAAAAGGCAAAACTCAGATGTGGTAACTCTGTCTTCAAACAGCCCAGAAAGGAATCACAGTAAAAGCATCCAAGGTGACTTACTGTGACCCCTCAACACCTTCTTGGAAGCTAATAGTACTAAATGGATTTTTCTAAACATCCTTCTGCGTGAGGAGCAGCTAAGAGGGAGCATCTAGTAGATGTAGTTGCTGGTCACTGCACAACTGCTGCCGTAAGTAAGTGCCGTGAAGTGTGTTAATGAATCGATACGGCTGGTGAGCTCTCATAAGATGAGTAATTGGGCACAGAGTGGTTACAGCAGAGTTGGCAGTTGAATAGTGTTAATCACAGTGATGACTTTAATAGCATTTAATAGACACTTATCTGAATTCAAAGTCAGATGAGATACTGCTCATTTTAAAAGCATTTCCAGTGCTATTAGCTTCCTGTCATGAAAAGGCACTAAAATTTCCATTTTTTTGTTGGATGTTGGGAAAAGTGCTTCTCTTGCTTTCTGAATTCTGGAGATATTTGGCTGTCTGCACTGAACACCCATTTTCAGCTGATAGCTTAAAGCAGTTGTTTGAGCTTAAAACTTCCCTCCCAAGCAGTCCTTTAAAAAGTAACAAAAAGGTGCTACCAAAACAAGTGGCTGAGAAACATGGGTGTTTCTGAATGGCACTGACAAAAGGTAACCAGCAAATACCCTCAGTCTGTAAAGAACATAGGCAGTTAGTTGGACTGCTTAAAGTCTAAATTAAGATTGCAGCTCTACTCTTTGTGTGAGACCCTGTTGGTTAAATTACTAGTGTTCTTGTGGATGCAGGTACTCAATGCACAGCACCAGACATGGTCTATTTCTATTCTTCCAGTACTGAAGTATCAAGCAAATGCTTTAGAGAGAAGGTGGGGGGATGTTAGCCACAACAGAGCAGATTGCAGATGATTCATATACAATTTAGCTCTGGTTAAGCCTGATTTAAATTTCCCTGCTTAGCTCTGTTACTGTCCCTTTTACAATTGGGCCTGTGCCACTGCACAAAATCCTAGTAAGAAGTAATAGTCCTTTGCCCCTTTTTGAGGAGCAAACAACTCCTGGTAGACAAAATGTCATTTAGGAAGGGTTGGAGAGGGAGAAAAATGAGCTTTCAAATGAGTGCAGAATTTCCCAATCTATGCTAAGTTGTGTATTCTCGCTAAACATGTGTTTATAGCAGGTCTGATTGCATTTGAGCAGTTGTGCTGGAAAACAATGGGTTTCCTGCCAAGCTAGGCATAACCTTTAAAACTGACAGCACCAAACCCAAGAGGTTAGTCCTCCTTGCTTTCCTAAGTCAAGCCACTAACCCAGCTAGCCCTGGTAAGTATTTGTTTTGCGGCATTGACAGCTCTAAGAGCTAAGCCAGCCACTTAGTTAGTCTTAATGTATTTGTTGGATTTCACTGTATCTAAAGTTATTTCGGTTGATAGCCGTCATGTCAGCTGAAAAGCAATCAAATGGAGACATGAGGGAGTGGCTGGACCTGAACGTGTATCTGTCATAGAGATTTCTTAAAATACTACCTTATTGGGATAGCCTTATCTCTGAATAAAACAGGAAACCAAAACCATACAGAGAATCACGTAAACCTTTAGTTTGGTGTGAGCCATCAGAGCCT